AAGTTGGGGCAGAGGTTAGCCTACCCTATCAGCAGGGGGTGTTAGTGAGGGCTGGAATACATCCTGGGATGCCGGTGGACTGAGACCTAACTTATGTCCAGAGGGGATCTGGGACAGAAGTTCAATAGATGGGTTTAACCTGAATCAGTTAAGTCTGATATTATATCCATCCAGGCCCCTCTCAAACTAGTTTTGACCATTTTGAAGCTGTTCTATGTGCACTGAACTTCTGTTCTGTTACAGGTTTAAACCAGTTTCCAATCACTTATACCAGTTTATGTATAATGTCTGTCCCTAGCCCTTAAGTCCAGGACAAAGAAAGCAGTGCACAGGCTGGTCTAATGGACTCTGAGGCTGACTTGCATTTGATTTCTAAAAGTTCAGGCATCAGAAACAGCTTTGGGATGTGGCAACTACAGCTGTACCTAATTGTGGAGCAGAGTGAGTACAATCTCAACGTAGAACAGGAGAGGACTTCCACTGGGAATGGTTGAGTATTTCCAGTAATACTGATTTGCATTTGATTTCTAGAAGTTCAGGCATCAAAAACAGCTTTGAGATGTGGCAACTACAGCCAAACCTAATTGTGGAGCAGACTGAGTGGAAACTCAAGGGAGAGCAGGTGAAGACTTTCACTAGGAATAGTTGAGTATTCCCAGTTTGCTTGAGAAGGACCCCTCATGTACACACCAGTATTTTATAACCAGTTCCTCATCCCAGACCATAGTACCGTACTTCTATTTGTGGAGATATGTCCTTGCCTATGGAGGGTTTCCCCCTCCTTCCTGTTTATCTCCTTCCATGGTTTGGAGGTACTATGCAAGGGAGATGAGCAACATTTTTCACACCAATAAAAAATATCACCCCTGGACCTTCTCAGCTCTTGTCAGCCTATAGCTACTTCCAGCTCTAGTGGCTTTGAACAAATTGCCCTGCCTCTTATGCTGTATTGGGGATAGTGCACTGTAACTTGAGATTCTGTGGGTGGGGAGGCCAAAAATCACTGTTCCTCCCACTCTGTGCTTGCTTAGATAAAATGGGGCATGTCGACCTTTTAGCCTTGTATGGGTGCATTCTCAGTGGTTTCTTTTTTTTCAAAAGGTGTGTGGGAGGGAGCAGGGAGTTTCCTAGCTGAAGACCCACAGATTCATTGGCCTCTTGAGCAATGGTATGTTTGCCTACCCAGAAATAAGCCACACCTCTGACTTCGTTATACATGGAGAGTTTTTTTTTGATACAGTATCAGATGAGATTATCAGGGTGCAAACATGGTTTTCTCATGAGCAAAGTCTGTACCAATTTGTCCCTGAAAGACCAAGGAGACGGGGAATTCTAATAACAGGTTGGAAGCTGTTTATTTACTTTTCCGGCGTCTGTGCAGGAAGTCTGAGCTAAAATAGGTGCAGAGATGGGAGTATAATTACCATGGGAAGCCTGCATTCTTGCTGTGCGATCAGTGTGTGCAGCGACTTGCGGGCCCAGGCATACCTGAGTGACAAAAGAGAACCTCATCTTTAAAACTCATTGCTACCAGTGTGAATACCTGAGAGAGACAGCCATGCTGAAACAGATTTTGGCAGATATGTACGTTGATCCTGACCTGCTGGCAGAGCTCAGCGAGGAACAGAAACAGATCCTCTTCTTCAAGATGAGGCAAGAACAGGTCAGACGGTGGAAGGAAAGAGAAACTGCCACAGACAAGAGTTCAACAAAAAAACCTGCACCAAGGAAAGGTAAGACTGCCCAGGAGCAGATTCCAGCTCTCATTTCCCTCCCTGACAAACAAAGCTGCTCCAATGGGTGTTTTGCAGCCGGGTGAAAAGCATTTCTAAAGAGATATTGCTTTGGTTAGGGAAGCACAGCTGGAAATGGTTATAAATACAGTTTCCTGCCATCACAGGTGCAGTTTGGGTTCAAACCTTGGTTTCTGGCTCAGGCAAGGTGGGGTTGGCTTCCAAGACAGACCTTGGGCAAACCCCTTCCATTTCCCTGCCTTAAAAAATGGGAATAATTGTCTGTCTCATCCATGCAGACTCTAAGCTTTTTGGGACAGGAGCTGTGTGTATGTACAGTTCCCAGCCTGATGGGGTCTCTAGCTTCTCCAAATAGCTGCTCAAGCACCCATTCAGCAAGACCAAGGCTGAAGCAGTATGGGCCTTTGGACCGTGCAGCTAAATGGACTGAGATATTTCAAATCCTTCTCTTCTGGGTGCATACACTTGTTTTTCATCAGCCCAGTCCATGCCGTGTTGGCAAGTCCTGTTGGAGAGGCATGCAGAAAGCTCTGTCTGGGCTGGCTATATCAGCAAGCGGGCAACAGCATGACCCTCACAGCCAGCGAGAGGTCACATAGCATTAAGGTGGTTCCAGATCTGAGGCCATGCTGGGATTTCCACTAGCAACCACATTGCTCTGTTAGGCATAGGAGTCCCTGCCATTCCTTTCTCCCATGCCATTAACCTTAGGGCCAAAGAGGAAGCATGAAACAGCAAAGACTGGTCTCCGCTGCTGAGGAACCACCTTTGTTCCTCCAGGCAGTGTCCCCAGCCATGTCTTTCATTGAAACACGGTTCGATGAATTACAGGGAGTTTAACAGAATGGGCAGGTAGCTGAGCTCCCTTACAACATCCCCAAGAAAAGGGAATAATAAATGGTGTGGGTTGGAGCAAGGGAAGGGGCCCTCAGTTGGGAAAAATGGCTTTAGTCTCCCTCATAACCATGATGTAATACAGAATCCCACCAACCTCAGTGCAATTGCTTGCTACACAGCTATGGGGCAAAGTGTGGGAATCTGGTCCAGCCAATACTCGGGTTGAGGGAGATATTGTTCTACAAATATATGTGGCATGTCAAATTGCTAGCAGCTTCACCCATGACCTGTGCTCCTTGCTGCCTCCCAGACCAACCTGCTTTACCCAAAAGTCCCACCAGCTGGCTGGAGGAAGGGAGGGCATGGAGGGAAA